CTCAGGGGTCCAGGATTATCTTCTGTGTCTGTGTTAATTGGTTTCCCTTTTCTTTGTTGAAGAGGGTCTGTGCAGTCCTTCTGCCTAGTCCGCCATCTTGCCGTAACTCCCTTCTCACCGTTCTTAAACACACCAGACACACTCCCACCTCAGGGCCTTTGCACATGTTCTTTTTCCTATTTTGCCCCATGGCTTGCTCCCTTCAGGTCTCTACTCAAATATCACTTTAATTGAGGTCTTCTCAAACCACCTTAATTAAAAATTTCAGCCTTCACCCTCTGGCACTCCCTATCTTCTTTATCTCTTTCCTCTATAGCACTTATCACCATCTGATGCAGTATATACTATGTGTGGATGTGGAGGAAGTGGTGCAGTGAGTGTGTGTATTTATTTATTTTCTCTCTCATCTCCATTCTTAGAATGCTAGCTCCATGAAGGCAGAAATATTTTGTCTAATTGCTCATTACTGCATTCCCAGTGCCTAGAACAATGCCTGGCAAACAGGATGCGCTCCATAAGTATTTCTCAAATGCATAGATGGATATGGATGCATGAATGAATAATGTGAATCTCTGATTTCACTAGTTATAGACAACAGTCTCCCTAAGGATCATTTTCAATTGTCCTTGGCAGGAAGATTCACCCAAAGGTGTACCTTTCTTCTAAAAACAACTTAAGAAACCAACCAACCAACCAACACAAGTTTGTTCTTCAATGAAAGATTTGGAAATAAAACGTAAATCAGATATAAGAAACAGGGAAATAATATATAAAGAGCACTTTACTGTTGACAATGAGTCAAACTGTAAGGAAAATAAGCCACCCTGAGCTCTAAAAAAAAGGAGTTTTGTTGGCACTATGCTTAAAACATTGGCTGGTAACCAAAAGGTTGGTGGTTAGAACCCACCTTCTGCTTTGGAGGGGAAAGATGAGGCAGTCTACTTCCGTAAAGATTTACAGTCTTAGAAACCAAATGGTGGTCACTGTGAACTGGAATTGACTCAAGGGCAGTGGGTTTGGGTTTTTTGGTAAGCTCTAACAGGTCTTTAGTTCCCATACACAGTTTATCTGCTATCTTATGATACGTGTCTTAAATATCCAATTTTCTTTATGAATAGTAAAATCATGGAATATAATTTAAATAGATTTACTTGAAACAACAACAGCAAAGGATTCATAACATTCAATACTGTATCGAGGTAATATAGTGAGCATACAATTTCATTTTTAAACATCTATTTTATTGTATTCAAATAATTCAAAAAGGAAATTAATAACTGTTTTTCAATCTTTTGAGAAGAAAGTCAGAGAGAGAAAACACAAAGTGGAAAGCTGGTCCATCCAAAGGGGAATTATTTCTCTTACTTTTATGTGTTGGATTCCTCCCATGTTCATCCAGGCCTGTGCTTGATCTGGATTTAGCTCCACAGCTGCTTTATAGCTCTAAATAAATGAAAAATAACTTTAGGTTAGAAAATAAGAGCCCATCTTTAACACTACCAGACTGCAGCAACCACTTTCTTCGTATGTGAAAGCTTAAATAGTGAGTACAGTGAAACAAGTTATTACTGGTTCATAGATGACCCCCTTTATTTCTATTAGTTTTCAAAATTGATGATACTACAGTGGAGGAAACTGAAATGTGTAATTTGCCTGCAGTGCTAACCTTTGGACTTAAAGAGATGGTGGACTGTGGGAATCAAGGAGATTTCTATTATAGTTTATCATTTCCTGCTGGCCTTGACCTGCAAGAAAACTGTACTTTTTGGTTTTCTGCATTATAAATGGACCTTGTAAGGAAAATATTTTATAATCCTAGAATCTTAGAGTAGTTTCCTAAACAGTTAACCCTAACATAATATTCCCTTTCACAATATTGCTGACCTGGTTATTCAGCCTATGCTTAGATACCTGCAGCAACAGGGGTCTAATTATTATTGCTTTAAAGGCATCTATTTCACTAGGCCACCACCTATCTGTCAGTTTGCCATACTGTAGTAGCTTTCATGTTGCTGTAATGCTGGAAGCTATGCTACTGGTATTTCAAATCTGCCTATGGTGAACAGGTTTAAGTGCAGCTTCCAAAGAATAGGAAGAAAGGCCTGGCTATCTACTTTCAAAAATTAGTCAGTGAAAACCTTACAGATCACAATAGAATATTATCCAATGTAGTGCTAAATATGAGCTCCCTAGGTTGGAAAGCATTGCAGAATAATTGGAACAGTAAATTCAAACATACCAACAACCATAAAGAAGGTACAGGATTTGTAACATTTCACTCTGTTTCACATAGAGTCACTATGAGTTGGAGCCTACCTAATAGCAATTAATAATAACATTTCATTAGAAAGTCTTTATTTTTCCTCTGCCATATGAAAGGTCTTCAAACATTTGAAGTGAGCCATCTATCCCTTAAGCATTTTATTTTGTGTGAATAACATGTATCTCACTAAATGTAATATCTGGGAGATGCATTTTTATTGCCATTGTTAGGTGCCATTGAGTTGGTTCCAACTCACAGCAACCCTATGCACAACAGAATGAAACACTGCTTGGTCCTATGCCAGCCTGACAATCTTTGCTATACCTGAGCCCATCATTGCAGCCACTGTGTTAATCCGTCTCCTTCTCCTTTCTCATTGACCCTCTACCTTACCAAGCACGATATCCTTCTCCAGGGAATGGTCCCTTCTGACAACATGACCAAATAGGTGCGATGAAGTCTGGCCATTTTCACTTTCAAGGAGCATTATGGCTGCACTTCTTCCAGGACAGATTTGTTAGTTCTTCTGGCAGTCATGGTACTTTCAGTACTCTTTGCCAACATCACAACTGAAAAGCATCAACTCTTCTTTGGTCTTCCTTATTCACTGTCCAGCTTTCACAGGCATATGAGGTGATTGAAAATACCATGGCTTGGGTTAGTGCGCCTTAGTCTTCAAAGAGACATCTTTGTTCTTCAGCACTTTAAAGAGGTCTTTTGCAGCAGATTTGCCCAATGCAATACATCGTCTGATGTCCTGACTGCTGCTTCCATGGGTGATGATCGTGGAACCAAGTAATATGAAATCTTTGTCAACTTCTACCTTTTCTCCATTTATTGTGATGTCACTTATTGGTCCAGTTGTGAGGATTTTCATCTGGTAGTGTAGTGCCTAAGGCATATGACTGCTAACCAGAAGGCTGGTGATTCAAACCCACCAGCCACTCCTAGGAAGGAAGATTGGGCAATCTACTTCCATAGTGATACTGCCTTGAAAACCCAAGGAGAGGTCGCTATGAGTCGGATCTGACTCAATGGCAGTGAGTTTGTTTTTTTGGTTTATGTTGAGATGTAATCCATACTGCAGACTCGTGTGTTTAATCTTCATCAATAAGTGCTTCAAGTAACTTTCAGTTTCAGCAAGCAAAGTTGTGTCATCTGCATATCATAGGTTGTTAATTAGTCTTCCTCCAAACCTGATGCCATGCCCTTCTTCATACAGTCTAGCTTCTCAGATTATTTGCTCAGCATACAGGTTGAGTAACTATGGTGAAAGGATACAACCCTGACACACTCCTTTCCTGATTTTAAACCATGCAATATCCCTTTGTTCTAACAACACCTTCCTGGTCTATGAACAGTTTCCTCAAGAGTACAATTAAGTATTCTGGAGTTCCCATGCTTTGCAATGTTATCCATAATCTGTTATGATCCATACAATTGAATGCTTTTGCTTTATCAATAAAACACAAGTAAATATCTTTCTGGTATATTCTTTGCTTTCAGCCAAGATCCATCTGACATCAGCAATAATATTCCTTGTTCCATGTCCTCTTCTGAATCCAGTTTGAATTTCTGGCAATTCCCTGTCAAAAGACTGCTGTAATTTTTTTTAATTATCTTCAGCAAAATTTTACATGCATGTGATATTCATGATACTGTTCAATAATTTCCAAATTCTGTTGGATCACCTTTCTTTGGAATGACTACAAATATGGATCTCTTCCAGTCAGTTGGCCAGGTAGCTGTCTTCCAAATTTTTTGGCTTAGATGAGTGAGCATGTCCAGCTCAGCATCAGTTTGTTGAAACATTGCAATGGGTATTCCATTAATTCCTGGATCCTTGTTCTTCACCAATTCATTCAGTGCAGCTTCAACTTCTTCCTTCAGTACCATTGGTTGTTGATCATATGCCACCTCCTGAAATGGATGAACATCAACCAATTCTGTTTTGTTCAGTGGCTCTGTGCATTCCTTCCATCTTGTTTTGATGTGTCCTACATAAGTCAATATTTTGCCCATAGAATCTTTCAGTATTGCAAATCTAGGCTTGATTTTTTTCTTTAATTCTTTCAGCTTGAGAAATGCTGAGTGTGTTTTTCCCTTTCAGCTTTCTAACTCCAGGTCTTTGCACATTTCATTATAATAATTGACTTTGTCTTCTCAAGCTGCTGTTTGAAATCTTCAGTTCAGCCCTTTTATGTTGTCATTTCTTCCATGATGCATTTTTAGTGTACTGTATATTGCTTTGGATCAAAGATATTTATTCTGCCTCATCATTGTTGATTTTCTGAGAGATCACCATGAATAAAGCCAAAGGCTGAGAACACTGTCTTCAATTACTAAGTATCTGTTCATAATTTTAATATTTGTTATTTCATCAGTAAGAATCTAACTGAACAGATCCATACAGTAACCAGAATCCAGTCCATCCCTCTGCTACTTCAGCTTTAGAAGAAGCAAATGATGAGAAATTATATCGTTAAAAGGTTGCTAAAAGAAACCTGTATGGCATGTCTCTTGGGATTAATTTATATCAGCAGATATTCAAGTGCATTGTAGTAGCTGTGAGAGGGAAGAGGAGAGGGGAGGGGAGGGAGGAAGGGAGAGGGGACAGAACAGTTTGTTTGAGGCCAAAACGTGGAATGCTTTGAAGTTAAAGGTGATAATTCAGGAAATAACGCAGAAATATTGCAGGACTCTGAATAATCAAGTCAGAAGGTCAATTATAAAAAACTAATAAACTTAAAATACTACAGAAAACTAATAAGAGAATTCATTCCACCAATATGCCAAAGATCTTAGACTTCATTAACGACTGAGGTAGTATTAACTTTAATCCATGAATTTAATAATCTAATTTTATTATTAAGTGTTTATACCTCAAAAGCTTTGTCAAGAAGGTTCTGTTCTCTCAGTTGGTTTCCTTTTGTGAAGAAAAGTTCAGATATGACTTTAGGGTCCTTTGGTTTCAGTTGGAGAGCCTTGTCTATAGCATCAAGTGCCTACAGAGAATGAAAATTAAGAAACAATAAAAGCAGATTAAATAAATGAAAACCAATTTAAGTGTAACATTTCTTCTTCTTCTTCCTATGTATTAGTTATCATAGTAAGATAAAAACAGTGGGGTGAGAAACAAAACATTCACATTTTTAGTATTCCTGACTTTCTCACTGGGAAATAATTTCTCTATATTCCAGGCTCCCAGTTTATATATTGGTGACAATAAAATGTTCCTGACCACTTTATAGGAAGACTGAAAGAAACCAAGGTTTGGGATTGTTGTTGTTGTTACGTGCCGTTGAGTTGGCCCCGACTCATAGCGACCCCTCTTTGGGTTTCTGAGGCAGTATCACTATGGAAGTAGATTGCCCAACCTTCCTTCTGAGGAGTGGCTGGTGGGCTTGAACTGCCAGCCTTCTGGTTAGCAGTCAAGTGCCTTAGGCACTATGCTACCAGAGCTCCTAAGGTTTGGGATTAGACCACTTGATACGCTAACATATTGTTCATCTGGATTACCCAACAGCCTCTTCTTAGGTCCCTGGTGGCCACTCGGCTCCCTAGAGTCCACTGCCCACACTGCAGTCAAACATCCCTTCAGAGCACAAACTGGATTGTGTTGCTCTTCTCCTTAAGACCCACAAACTTCTCCCAGGATAAAGATCAAAACCCTTGGTCTTGCCCACAAGCCCTGAGGGTTTAATCTGTACTAAACTCTGTGGCTACATCTCACACTGTGCTCCTGCTGCCTCATGCCCATCCCTTAGGATACTTGCTTCTGCCACAGGGCCTCTGTGTGGTCTCTCTGCCTGGAATGCTCTTCATTGCCTTTTTTGCCTAATTAACTCCTATTCTTCTGCCACTTCTAACCTCGACACCACTTCATGGGAAACCTGACATCCCAGACTAGTCAGGTCCTCTGATTATATACTGTTTAGGGGCCTTATCAGGAGCTCTGGTAGCATAGTGCCTAAGGCACTTGACTGCTCACCAGAAGGCTGGCGGTTCAAACCCACCAGCCACTCCTCAGAAGGAAGATGGGGCAATCTACTTCTGTAGTGATACTGCCTCAGAAACCCAAGGAGGGGTCACTATGAGTCGGGTCCGACTCGACGGCACACAAACAACAACAACAACAGGGGCCTTATCATTCTTCATGACATCAATAAACACAGCTATAATCCTACATTTGTTTTATTATTACTTGTTCAATATCTGGCCCCTCCTCTATACTGTAAGCTCCATGAGGACAAAGGCAGTACGTTTTTGTTTTTCTTAAGACTTTACTTCTGGTATCTTTCACAGTGTTTGGCACATAGCAGATATTCAACAAATATATTTTTAAATTGATTCATAAATTTATTGATTCTATGACTTTTAAATTGGAGATAAACAGTAACAGTTGCAACACAGTGTAACTGATCTAACAGGATTGTTACAAGGATTAAATAAGACAATTTATTAGAAGGAACATGGAAATGATAACATATACAAACATTAGTCTTATCATTATACAGTTAGCTAAAAAACAAACTGAGATAATACCACATAAAATCTTTAGGTCAAGGATAAGCCAAGAAAATGTTATTATTCAAGGGGGCATCTTTTCGTTTAGAAAGTATCTGTAAAAAGCTTTCAGAATATAGGATATGCTGACTGGTGATATTCAAGACTGCTCAGCCTTGTAATTGGCAAATTGGAGAATCATTTAGGAGCACATTGTTTCCTACTCATAAATTACAACAATGGCACAATGGCCTTCTTTACCTTGTGGTGGTGTTCTTGCTTGCTGTAGATCGCTGACAAAAGGCGATAGCATTCAAGGCATCCAGTCTCCTCTGACACAATGTGATTGGTCATTTTTTCAGCTTCTTTTGTCTGACCCATCACAGCCAAAACCTGAGCCTGCAAAACCACACAGACCTTGGTTTAGAAGACATGTTATTACTTTATCAAATAATACGTCCCTAAAGAGGCTAGCGGTTCAAACCCACCAGCCACTCCTCGGAAGGAAGGTTGGGCAATCCTACTTCCGTAGTGATACTGCCTCAGAAACCCAAGGAGGGGTCACTATGAGTCGGGTCCGACTCGACGGCACATAACAACAACAACAACAACAACAACAACAAAGAGGCATTCAGAAAACATTCCTGACAAAAATGTTCAGCATCTAGTTAGTGACTGGCACAGTTTACAGTTTAATTTTGTTTGTTTGTTTAGGTATGTGTGTGAATGGCAGAAATAACAAAAATGTCCAATAAAATAATTTGTGTCCTTTAAAAAAAGTTGAGTTAATATGTCAGAACATAAAACCTTTCCTATAGTTTCAAGGAACACTGTGTTTGTAAAAAGGTAACAAATGTGATTTATTACACATCTAATGAAAAAGAGAGTAAAGACAAAAAAATTGAAATGAAAAATATCATTGGTATTAATGTTAATTTTCCTGAATTTGATAACCATACTATGGTGATATTAGAGAATGTTCCTGTCCTTAGAAACTATGTAGAATTAAAAGGGTATGATTTCTATAATGAACTGTCACATGTTTCAGGAAAAAATAATATATATCAATAAAATGTATATGTGTACATACATACACCTAAAAAAGTACATATATACATATACATATAGACACACATACATATATAGAGAGAGTGATAAAACAAATGCATCAAATTGCTGAAAATGAATGGAGCTGGTTAAAAAGGTACATGGGACTTCTTTATTATTCTTGGAACTCTGTTGTGTGAAATTACTACAAAATCAAAAGTTAAAGTATTTTTGATGTCCATATCTTTGGTGAATGCCTTAAATAGTATTATATTTAGTCAGTTAGTTGTTGTTGAGAAAATATACAGAAAGATATAAACCAATTCAACAGTTTCTACATGTACAATTCAATGACAGTGATTACATTCTTCAAGTTGTGCATTCATTCCACCCTCCTTTTCTGAGTTAACATAACATAAATAACATAACTTCACTGCCTGCTAAGATTCCTAGCAAATTTTTGAGTTGCTTTGCCACTTTGATTGCATTAAAACAGTATAATGCTCAAAGCAGACATTTCTTAATAGCTAAGCCAGACTAATGCTTAGTTTTAAGATGTCAAGGGATATTTTTGGTTTAAGGTTTAAAGATTATCTTAAGACTGTAGTGGCAGAGGTTCTTTTTATCAATATTCACAAGAATACCATATATATGTTATACATATGCTATATGCCATATATATATATGGCTCAGAGGCATAGTGCCTAAGCCATTTGCTACCCAGAAGGCTAGAGGTACAAACCCACCAGCCACTCTTCAGAAGGAAGATTGGGCAATCTACTTCCGTAGCGATACCCTCGGAAACCCAAGGAGAGGTCACTATGAGTTGGATCTGACTTGATGGCAGTGAATTTGGTTTATAGCATTCTAGTTCCAGTTTTGAGGTCTAATGAGTACAGTTGTCTATACTGTATGTTGTGCTTAACATTTCTAGCTTCATTTGCTCTAGGTCTTCTACTTACTAGTGCCAAGCGGAGTTCCGTTTGAGAAGGCTGAAGTGCTGCAGCTTCCCGGTAAATCTGCAAAGCCTCTTCATAACGGCCAGTGTTATAATATAATGCTCCCAAAGGTGACAAAATCTCAGCTTTGCGTGCCACCTGTAGTGCACTAAATTTTGAGAAAAGAGAATTGACATTTTCCTTTTAGTAGGCATCCATCCAAAGTCCTAAACATAGATTTAGGGAGGTCTGTGGAAGGAAGATGGATCAATCTACAGCCTTGGAAACCCAATAAGGGTTGCTATGAGTTGGAATCAACTGGATGACAGTGGGTTTGGTTTTTTGGTTTGGTCCATAGTTTTGAGATTCTCCTCCAAAGTGGTCTTTTTTTAAAAAATCTTTATCAAAATGAAGGTTTGAAAAATGATCATGATGCCACCTTCTGATGATGCTACTTTCTGAATGCAAAAGTGTTTCCAGTGATCTTTCATCTATTCCCATTTTTAATGTTGCTATCTGTGTTCATGTAGGGTGGAGGGTCAACGAAAGAGGGGGAGGTCTTCAAGGAGATGGATTGGTATGGTGGCTGCGATGATGGGCTCAAGTATAGCAGGGATTGTGGGGCTGGCGCGGGATCGGGCAGTGTTTCGTTCTGCTGTGCATGGGGTC